CCCCCCCCCTTGCGACCGTACTCCCCAGGCGGAGTGTTTAATGCGTTAGGTAGGTCCCTCATCGAATCGCCCCCCAAAACCACCGGGCGTAGACCAAGGACCAACACTCATCGTTTACGGCATGGACTACCAGGGTCATTTTGAATTTAAATAAAAAATGGACTATATCATTCTCTGAGTTTTTGTTTTGATTGCAATATCAAGTCAATCTGTTCCAAAAATTTAGGATTCAATCATTTATTAATTTCATCTCGGAGATCCAGCGTCGTTGAATCCGCCAGTAGATAGGGTAAGCAGTGTGTGTAATCTGACTAAGCTTCCCTCCGAACCGTGCGTGCAAGATTTCCAAGCACACGGCTCTCCATCAGTTTGGCAAGACTACTGACTGTTTCCCTTCCATTTTCATGTACTATGGAAACTCTGATGCCACACTTCCCGCGTACTGCGTGCTTCCGCACTGAACAGGCTCTGCTGCCTGGCTGGTCATCTGCTCGCATTTTGTTCTTGTTGGTGCTAGCCCCCACCTACCCCCGCCAGCACGCCTCCACTTCCACCCCCACCAGCACGCCCCCACCTAAACCCGCTAGCCCTCCCTGTGTTGCCTTGCTGCTTGCGTTCTCCCGGCTCTGCACTACCGTCTTCATCGCAGTGGAACATCCATTCCCTATCGCTTTATTTAGACAGAAAATTGCCCCACATACAGCTGTAACGACCGGGCATGCTATTTGGGCAAAGGCAGTATGGACAGGGGTTGAAGCAGACGACTCAAAGCATCAGTACAGGGATTCAGCGGCCTGTCGAGGGTTCAGTGTCCTGATGAATGATGACTCAGTCCAAGTCCGATGATGCAGTCTTGTCTGTGTATAAAATTAACCCCCCTCTTGTGTCTTCGTTCGTCGTTCTGGTGTGCTGTGTTGCGCAATTACTATTTACAGCGGACATCACACCAATCCATCTCTGCGGGGATCGAACCCATGACCTCCCTAAAGCGAAGGGGGGTACTTCAACCACCAGTACTTCCGAAAGTGACAGCCGCATGCGCGCTGGTGCGACCTGCTGGGATGAACGGGCTTGGGGGCGCTGGAATAAATTTAATAAATATTAAATTCGTTCAAGTGGGGAAACGTCGAGGCACTTTAGCAATGGC